TGACAAACTGTTTCGTCGGAGTTTCACCGACTCATCAGGAGGCTGAACCCTCATCAGTCTGCAGAATCCCCTCACTTATTACACTGTAAATGATAATCTACCTTAACCAAAATCAAAGTAGACTATCACTCACCCACACCAGATGAAAAAGTCTACAGAATGTCGGTTCACACCCCATCACAAGCCAGCAAAACATCCACGAGACAAAGAAAGGGCTGTCACAGCCAAAAAATACTCTCCAGACATATATGCAGGGTTGTCGGCGTTCAGTACGGGCTGAACCCCCGAACCCGAACGCTCGAACGTACAGGACCCCTTCGGAAGGCGTTCGGCCGTTCGAGCCGAACGCGGATAAAAAAAAAAAAAAAAAACAACATTCTCGAAAAATTCCAAAACAAAAATATATTATTGAGCAAAATCAACTAAACAACATTTGCCAGGGCACTGTATCCCAATTCTTGACCAAATGTGAACTAAAAATCAAATACAGAAAATAAACACTATAAGAAAAATAAGAAAAAATAAAAAGAGAATTAAAATGAGTGAGTGTGCCAACACCTTTTCGACACCGCCATCTTTGTCGATTTTTAATTATTTTTTGACATTGAAAAATGCCCTCAAAATTTACAAAACTCATCAAAATTTTTTAGGTCCCGAAATAAAGTGAAACAAAAAGTTAAAAGTGAAAAAAAGAAAACAGTGAGTGGGCGAGAACCATTTCACACCCCCATCTGTGACGATTTTTAATGTTTTTCTGGATTCGCAGAATGGATTCAAAATTTATAGGCGTGTAGGTTGCATCATAGAGAACTCACAAAAAAAACTTAAGAAAACAAAACTTATTTTTAGGCCCCGACACAATTTTTGGCGGGGGCCGAACCTGGAGGTGTTCGGCCCCCGAACGGGACCCCGAACGCCCGAACGTTTAGGGGCCAGCCCGGGGGCCCCCGAACGTTCGGTCAGGTAACCCTGTATATATATATATATTCTTTGTGACGATATATATATATATATATATATATATATATATATATATATATATATTGTAGTGCCAAAAAGCCGTGGCCTGAAAATCCGGACGACGGGGGTGCCTGACGTCTGGGGGAGCCGTACGGTCTCTCTACCATTGGTAACCTAGTTTTTTTCTGATTTTTAACAAATAGAAATCGAAAAAAAACAAGTACTAAAATCAAAAGATTCATAATTTAAAAAAATGGAACCGTTTTTTTTCATTTTTTTTTCCGATTAGTGGTGGGATAAACATGGTGCATATTTTTCTTTGATTCTTTTTTTTACCGACCTATGCAAATGTAAAAGGGAAAAAATAATAATAATAATAATAAAAAACAAAGTCATTTTAAAAAAAAAAACAAAATTCCATTTTTGACATACAAAGTTATTGATTAATTGATTGATTGATTGATTGATTGATTGATTGATTGACTGATTGATTGTTTGATTGGTTGGTTGGTTGGTTG